GCTTGTTAAAATATTTCGATTAAAAAAAATCTTTTCTGAAGTTGATGTAGGCCAACCACAAAAACCGAAAGGCCATAAAGGACCCTTTCTTGCGGGTCGATTCATTGATTTACTCAGATGCAATGAATAATTCAGAATTAAAAAGTGACTACTGATCATTTCAAATTAGAAACACTGAAACGTCACCTCTGCATCGCAAAGTTATCAGAGCACAAGAGAAACAAGCTTTGAGAGCTCAGAAAGGCTGCGAGGGAGAAGCGTTCTGCTTAGGTTTTTCTCAGGAGCATTTCTGTGGCATAGACATTCCCGAAGGTGACGCCCTGGGCCCCAGGGACTCTGAGCAAATAAACAGACAACAAACGCCATGACCTGTATCAGCCGGGGACCCCGGGGGGCAGGCGCAGGGTAAAAAGCGCTCGTATACACACGGACACACTCACGCACGCACATCCACACACGCATGCATGCACACACGCACATATGCACACACACCCACATGCACACCCACACACGCATATACTCACGCATGTACATGCGTGCATGCACATACGCACACCTGCACACATACTCGCACGTGTGCACACATGCAGGAACGCACGCACACATGCACACACACACACATATGCACACCCACAAGCGCGCGCACACACCCACACTCATACTCACACACACACACACATGCACATACACACACAAATGTGCACACACATGCATGCCCATGCACATACATGCACATACGCACACCCACGCGCACACACGCACACCCATGCACACCCACACACGCACGCACACATGCACACACACCCATGCCAAGCAATCCTCCGAGGCCTGGCCCGCAGGGTCCTCCAGGCGGGGCTGGGGCTGTGCCCCCCGAACCTGGGCCACCGCTGTCCCACCGCCAAAGCTCCACCACTTATGGGCGGGGCCCTGAGCCCCCATGATGCCCCCCTCTGTGCTGCGTGGCTCCTTGCATTGTGCCCCTGCACCCCCATGATGCCCCAACGCAGCCCCGTACTGTCCTCCTCCCCCCCCAACTCCCATGATGTCCCCTCTTCCGTGACCACGCCATCTCTGCTGTCCCCATACTGCCCCTCCTGGCCCCATGATGTCCCCAGCACTGCCCCTCCCCTCCATGTGATGCCCCGCGATGCCACCCCCGTGGTGTCCCCTCGTCCCCCACGCCGTCCCCGCCGCCCTCACCGCATGGTGTAGAGCAGCGTCCCGTCGTCCTCCAGCCGCAGCAGCTTGTTGGGCGTGGTCATGTTGTGCGCGATGGACTTCTTGCCGTTGTGGAAGAACGTGTCCGGCGTCCAGATCTTGCTGGCCAGCAGGTTGTTGAGCGGCAGACGCTGCATGGGGCCCTTGAACCGGAGCCGCTCGTCCTTCCAGCTTTGCCGGAAAAACACGTCGATGGTGTACTCCTAGGGCGAGGGGGGCGGCCGGTGACGCCACGGCGGTGGCCGGGCCCCCCGGCCCTCCTGGGGGCTCCCACACACCTACCATTTCCGTGTCGGACACCGGGCCGAAGCTGGTGACGTAGATGTCAGTCCTCACCTGCGTGGTCCGCTCTGAAACACAGACGCGGTGCCTCGCCCGGGCTCGCCCGGGTCACCGGCCCCGGCCCCACGCCCTTGTCCGCTCACCGGTTTCACGCACAGGGACCAGGAGGTGGCCGTTATGTGCAGGGCTTGCCCGACACAGAAGGCGGCCAAACTGCTCCAACTGTGACATGAAATGACACGCCCGTGCCATCGAGAAAGGGACTCGGCTGGCACTGTAGTCCCGCCTGCTGGGGAGTCTGACCGTGGGGCCTTGGGTGGCTTTCCCACGCACCCAGCTTCAGCGTCCCCCTCAGTAAACCGGGAACAGTGCTCCCAGCGGCTTTGAGAGAAGCTGGACCCTTTGGGGTGTGGGTGCAGCCGGGGGACGCATCTGCCATCAGAACGGTGGCCCCAGGCGGTCTCTGGAGAAAGGCGGGTGCGAACCTGCCCGGGGGACAGTGGCCTGGGGAGGAGGACGGAAGGCCGGCTGCACCTTGAATTGCTGGAAAGTTCTGTCATGGGAGACTCAGTTAAAATAACTGAAGACACAAGAAGCCGTAAAAGCAGCTACTCATGTCGGGGGAGACAGCGGCCAGGCCAGGACCCGCCCAGCCCCTGTGGTCGTGAATGGATGACCGGAGGCCCCGTCGGAGCACGGGAGGCTGCCGTGCCCGCCCCGGACTGCCGGAAGGCGTGTGGGGCGCATGGGGCGCGGGGGCCGCTGGCTTTTCCCTCCCGGTCCCGGGGGCGGGGGCATCGTGTACACGCACGGCGTGCACTTGCGTGTGCACAGGCATTTGTATGACGCTGCGTGGTTTCAGCGCCCGCGTCCCCCCTGAGATGCCAGCCCCGGCGGGTGACCCCCCCTGGCTCTCTGGCGCCCCCAGGGACCCGCCATTCAGGAGGGTGACGTGCGCTGGGTGCTGGGTGACGCCGGCAGCCCCCCGCTGTCTGCGCCCTGTGATTCTTGTGGGTGTGTTCAAAGGGGTGGGGACAGAACCCAGAGGGAGGGGCGGGGTGTCCAGGGGCCTTTGTGGACTTTTCTTGCTCAAAACACAGAAACGGGCAATGCACGTGTCAAGGGGATCTCCCTGTTGAACGTGCGAATGATGGAGAAACACTAAACGTTGTCCCACAGCAACGCGTCTGCCAGAGGCCTCGATCTCGCCTCCCAGAGCGAGTTCACGGGCGCCGCATCTCGGCTGCCTTAGACCCGCAGGCACCGCGCACGCCGGGAAGCGGCGCCCGGCTCCCAGCACAAGATGAAGCTGTGCCCGCTGTGCCCCGAAAGCACACTTTGCCATCCACTTATTTTTATCCGCTTCCACAGGGGCAAAGTGAGTGCCGTGATGATGGCCCTCGTGAACGAATTAAATGTCATATAGAGAGACGTAAAGGACAATTGCATCGAACAGCGGATTCTGCAAAGGACGTGCGCAGCTATCAGCAGGAGATGATTATGAATTATTTCTCAGCGTGCGGTAACCCCGGCGCCCGTCACCCCTAAGAAGCGGCTCCTCCTTCAGTGAGCCGGAGGGGACGCTGGGATTATGTGGGGGGAGGCAGTCTGCAGGGGCCACTTCCCCCAGCCGCCTGCATCTAGAAAATAGAACGGCAGATTCTGCAAAGGACGTGCGCAGCTATCAGCAGGAGATGATTATGAATTATTTCTCAGCGTGCGGTAACCCCGGCGCCCGTCACCCCTAAGAAGCGGCTCCTCCTTCAGTGAGCCGGAGGGGACGTTGGGATTATGTGGGGGGAGGCAGTCTGCAGGGGCCACTTCCCCCAGCCGCCTGCATCTAGAAAATGGTAAGAAACGGTGCAGGAGCCTTGGCGACAGCCACCCGTTGGAGCTCCCAGCGGGGCGGCCCTCTCGGGCATTGTTTGGGCCACAAAAGACACGGGCTTGAGCTGAGGTCACGCTCCCCAAGGGCCCGCCGAGGACACACTCACCCCCGAGCCCTGGGCGCAGTCGGTTGTCATAGCCGTCCAGAAGCCCATCCAGAATCCTGGTGAAGATGGTGATGTTGTCATCTTTCACCGAACCGGCGGGCATCTGCGACAAGCTTTGCAACAGAGAAACACAGGGGTTCAAACTTGCGTTAGTTATTTCTTACACATTCTTCTCCAGATCCAGAAACCAGAGAATAAAACGGTGACTTGTTTTGGACAGAGGACGAGATCAGTCTATTCTGCTCTCTAGGGTATTGTTTGGCACAGAGAAGCCTTAACTCTTGGGTATCTAGAGAGGGTGACGGCTGTGGGCTGGTCACCCATCGACCTGACCGGGTGCCCCGAATCCACCCCTCCCCGGTTCCGAGAAGCCATTCGTGTCAATACTGCAGCCGTAAACAAACCGGCCGCTGCACACGGATACGCGGAGCGCAGTTCGTTCCTGGGGAACTTCAGAAGTTTGCTTCCCACACGGAAAATCCGAGTCTTCACACCGTTAGTGTCACCTGCATTGGGTGATGGGGTGAGGGGGGACCCTTGGAGAACTATGCAAATTGACAGATGAGGTCGGGTTTCTCCAACAACGTCACCGCGTCTCTAACTGGGAGCATTTGCGCGGGGAGCATCGTGCCAGGGTGACGGCAATGATGGGGTGCGCGGCGTCTCCCTGTGCTTCGCAGCCATCAGCTCTGCTCGCTGCCGGCGCACCCGGCTCAAGCCACAGCACGCGGCGGGGGCCGTGCGTGGTGAAGCCCCGTCTGCAAATGCCGAGTGGGCTTTTTCTCGATGCCGCCTACGCTCGGGAGACTGGGGGACGCAGCACTCCGAGTGTGTGACCCAACGTGTCGGACCCACAATCAAAGCCCAACCTTCCAGAAGCAAAGGCAGTCTGGTTCGTCCAATTCTGTCGGGTGACCCAGGCCCAGAGGGGGGTGAGAAAGTGCCCCAGGCAGACATGGACAAACCGAGGAAGCCACCTGGGGAGAAAGGGTGTCACCGGTCCAGAAGTCGGTGACACACGGGAAGGGCGTGGACCCCACCGCTGGTCTCACAGCTGCTTTCAGACATGCAAACACGGGATTTAGACGCGTCAAGAACTTGACCTAGGCTGCGGGTCTGGCTTCACGGGGACTTAGGCCGCCAAAAGCCGGCCATGGGGCCCAAGAAGTCAGCACCTTGGCAACAGAGCAGGCGGCTCCCGGAACCTTCCTGAGAGCTGGCCACGTGGCTCTGGCCACGGCACTGTCTCTTCCAGGAATCGGCTGAGAGCTGAGACCCAGGGGTGGACCCTGGGGGCAGAATCGATGTCCGCCTGCCTCACCCCGTTCTTGGAAAAGAGTCGCTGTCATCGACTGCATCGGAACAGATCGATTCTCTACCAGCGAAAGCGATTTCCTTCTGCGCGAAGGCAGAGTGTCAAGTTCTTTTGATCTAATTTCCACATCGCCGTGAACATGCGCACTCGACAAGCTAAATGCAGCCCTCTGAGTACGGAGCCCAGGGAACAGTTTTTCGCTCTGTGACATAGTCTTTTAAAATATTAAATTCCCTTTTCCTGACATCCTTGTGGGACGAGGACGCAGCCTCGCAGACTTAATGCCCGGACATGGGGGGGTTAGCATCGTCCTCTGGGGCCGCGAAGGGAAAGGGGACGTTTTGTCCTTGCCCCATTGCCTGACTATTGGTCACACAAATCTGGCCTCATCGTCCACTTCTCACGGTGTCCCTGACGCTTATCATTTTGCTTATTTTCTTCGAGACCATGTTCAAGTGTCTAATTTTCAGAAGGTGCTCGCTGGCTCAGTATCTTAGCATAGAGGTGGTCAGCAGGGCTGGGAGTGGGGCGGTTGGGGACAAGCCGGCCGAGGGGACATGCAGCTGTCCCACGGGGTGCAGCCACTGGTCCCCCAGACTGTACCACACACTCGGAAGCTGCTCAGAGAGTGGCTCCTACCTGTTATCACCACGAAAAATGAGATGGTGATTATGAGACGTGATGGAGGTGTCAGCCAAGAGTAGCGGTGACCATACGGCGAGTATTAGACCCTAAACTTGCCCCCCGTTACATGTCAATTATGTCTCGATACACATTAAAAAATGAAGAATCACTATGAATCGGAAAACAAGAGGAGGCGGATCCTAACGTTTCCAACGCGTTTCTGCCCACGATTCCACTGTCCGCTGGGAACTGTTCGGACACCACGCTAGACCCGGCCAGCGCCGAGGGCCAGGAGGTGAAGACTCCATGGCCGCGTCGGCCCCGTGGTGTGTGGGGGCACAGTGCAGCCATGGGGACTGTCTCTAGGGACCCTGCACCCTCGGTGCTGCTCAAGCATGCTCCCCTCACCGCCCTTCCTGTGGATGCTGTGCCCTTGACCCCACCGTGCAGCCTGACGGGATCCCCCCTTCCCCCGCCTGCGATAAAACCCAGGAGTCCCCCCCCCACCCGCGCGGGCCCCGCCCCTTGCCCCCCTCAGGCCCCCACACGCTGGGTCCCTCCCACCCGTCTTTCGCGCACACTCGCTACCTTCTACTTTGAATTATTCTTCAGAGTGATTGTGTGACCCACCGACGACATATCTGGGGGGTTCACCCGCATATGCGCTTCCTCGCGGGGAGGCTCCAATCTGCCCCGGTGGGTCTCGCTCCTGGAACGCGCCTGGCACGTAGTAGGGACTCAATAAACATCACCGTCACTGCAGGGCGGGGGCCCCTGTGGATGCCGACACCCCGATCCCCAGGCCTGGGGCTGTGCGTGTGCTACGTGACGTGGCAGGGACACCCCGCGGATGCGATTACGGTGGTGGCGTCTGCCACACTCAGGCCGAGCCCGCGTCATGCTCGCCCAGGTCCAGTAAACCTCGGCTGCAGCCTGGTCACAGCACCCTGAGTGACAGCCACCCTGCACCCAGCGCCTCTCCCTCCCTGGCCTTGTCTCAGCATTTGGGGGACGGTGGGCCGTCCGCCCTCTCCGTCAGCCCTGTGGTGCGGTGTCTGTTCGTAGCTCCATCTGCCACTGCGACACGGAGTCGCAGGCAGGTTGAATAATTCTTCCGATGCCACACATCACGTATGACAGTGCGACTGTCCCCGTCACCACCATGCCTAACCCTGCCCCTAAATCCTTGCCAGGACCCCCGGAACAGAACCAAACCGACTGCAGTGCGATGGCCTATATATATGTGTGTACATCTTTTTAAAGTTAAAACTGAATACAACACGGTCGTGGGTTTCATCCGTTTTTAGCTTTGCCTTTGGTTTTGAAATAAATGATTAAACAGATACAAATAACGTAGAGCTTTCCGCGAACGGCTGGAGCTTGTCCAGGGCGCGTGTCACCTCTCCTGCCCTGGGCCCCCTCGTCCAGCGGTCACACTGCCCGGTGTGTGGTGTGTGTGGTTCCGCTCGGGCTGGAGTGGACCCCTGTCTTTCCAGTGGAGCCACTGAGTTAGATTAGGACACTGTTGCTTGCGACACTTAGGTCTTTCCCCATTCTTTCCCTCGTCACCGTCCCTTAACTGTTAGAATGTTCTAGAAAAGGTCCCGCAGTGGAGTGAGCTAGCCCGGGCCCTGAGCTCCAAGACAGACCCTGACCCTGCCACTTCCCGGCCACCGAGCGTGGGCTCCACGCCTACGCTCTGCCACCTCCAAGCGGAAGGCTTCGCAAAAATCAAACGGTGCTTTCTGGACGCGAGGGAGCTGTACCCACATCGACCCTGCTCATCATCACTGCCACCAGCCATCGGAGAGCCAGGACGTGATTTATTTTTACCGCTGCTTCTCATAACTTCCGTGTGAAATTTCACACCTGTTGGAACAGGTGCATTACGCGATCGCACCTTTGTGAAGACCCGAGAGCCCTCGTCCTCCAGACCGGTCGCCGGTCGGTGCCGGACGCCACCCCGAGCCTCGCTCCGCTCACCCCCGCTGGCATGGCGAGCGTGCTAAACGGTCTCCTCATAAAGCACGTCATTGAGAAGTATTTTCTTTCGGTGCCTTTAAAAAGGGTTGGCGGGCATCGGGCTGGAGTGGGGCCCTCGTCCCCTGAAAGTCTCGCTGCACCTGAGAACTGCCTTTCTGACCTCTGGCCATCTCACGGCCCCACGCAGCTGTCCCACCGCCTGTGTGTGGCACGTCTGTGTGTTTCTATGACGGTGACGACGACGACAACCCTCTGTCCCGGGCCTGGTGAACCTGCAGCCACGGTGCAGGGAGGGCCTGGGGCTCACGAGGGGGAGCGTGCCAGGAAAGGGTGCCGCGCGTGCTTGGTGATGCGGGGAGAGTGTGCCGGGAACGCGTGTGCAAAGCCGCCTCCCGGAGGCGGGGGTCGGGCGAGCGCGCGGAAGCAGAGTCGCCTGTCCCCTCACGTCCACAGGCCACTCCTGCAAGAGCCTCCTCTTAACTGCCAGTCACAAAATGCCGTTTCCCAAAGTCCATTTGAATCGGCCTCCCAGGTACTAGCAAGTTCTAACGCATTTCTCTTCTCCAACAGATGAGCTTCTAAAATACATTTGATACGATTAAATGAATGAAATTGCATTTCACCTCATTATGGATGTGATCGTCCCCAAATTTATCTTACAATTATCACAGGCCGAGTGAGCCCAAGAAAGTATGATTTTTCAAAGGACGATAAATGAATTCCCAGATACATTTAATAGGATGTATTTTGACGTGACGCCAATTCGAATGCCGTCTCTGTGCCGGCTTTTCTGTGCCACGTCGTTCTGATTTCCGGTCTCGTTAAAACAATCCTAACGCTTCAGACGAGACGTCTCACGAGGCCGAGTGCCACAGCAGCCTCTGTCCTGCCACGACTCGCTCTCTGCTACGTAATTTAAATGCGCGGAAGGATTCTGCGCGTGATCAGAAATGAGTCGGTGGTGACTCGGATCAAATTTAAGAAAAGATCGGGAGAAGAAACGACACTCGTGTGTTTCCAGAGCGATTGCTCGTTGATGGTCTCTCCAGCTCTACGTCGCTATCCGGCCCCTACGGTGTTTGATCGCCACGTCCGATCTGCCACCCTCCTCGCTCTCCGCCCCCGGCTGGTCTCTTTCGTGTATTTACAGGTGTCGGTGTCTCACTCGTCCCACAGTGTCCCCATTACGGCCTTTCCTGTCTCCCCTTCACCTTCCTATTGCTCCCGATAACGTAAAGTCTTTCTTTGGAGGAAAAAAAAACAGAGCTCACACAAACTCCTTTTCCTTGTAATCACAGAACAGAAAACTCTCAAAAAGCAGTTTGCGGAATGGCATCCTGCACAGACCGCGGTACCCAGCCCGTGTGACCCAGGGGGAGCCGGGCACTAACCGCCAGGCCCCCCGCATTCGGTGCCCAGTGAGGAGACCAAGTGTCCGGTCCTGGTGGCCTCTCCCGTCCATTGCTCGGCTGCCACTGTCAGACGAGCCGACGACGCTTACTTGTCAGGCGCCTCTGAGACACACCTAGCCCGGGAAACGCACTAAGACGTGACGCTCCGTATTGCGACGGCTGCTATTCTGCCAAGATGTTCAGTCAAGTGGGTACTGGAAAATTTCTTCGCAATTTAACGAAATTATCCTCAAGCACGTTTAGAATAACAAGCCGGCGCGAGGAGCCTTGTATAAGAAGAGGGAGAAATAGGGACTCGGGCTCCCGCAGGGCGAGACGTCCTTTGTGACAGTTCAAAAGCAGCCCCTGCTGGCCGGGCGTGTGCAACCCGCTCCAGCTCCCGCCGGAGACCCCGCTTCACCAGAAAGGGGCTGGACACACGGGTCAGGAGTTAAAAGCGCTCGGAGCACCAGATACCGTCTCACCGAAGGGATCTCACCCCCCGAACGTGCTTCTGAGCCAAAAATGATCAACGTAGGGAAACGCATAACCAGACACGCACACAGCCCAGATTAGGGAAGGACCGAAGGCCGACTATCCAGTCGCCTAAAGAGCGCGCGTCCATTCGTAAATCACAGATTTTTAAAGAGGTTGGAATAACCGAGTCTTAGGTGTGAAAAAGAGCGTGGCACGAATCTGAAGGTGCGACACGACCCAGTGTGGGGAGAGGGGAGAAAACCCACCGCGGTATGAAGGAGGGCGTCTGCGGGGCGCCTGCGGGGCGTCTGCGGGGCGTCTGCGGGGCGGGGGGAAGGACGCTTTTTCCATGGACTGTCTGTGTCACGCACGTGTCCTGCCGCCAGCAGGACTATTGACCTTATACGTAAAAGATCCCAAACGTCTCCCACCGTTAATCTCTGTGTGGAAGGTGAGCTCAGAAAGCCACCAAATTAAATAAGAAACAAAGCACAGTGGCCTCTAACGGCTAAACTCCACGGGCACGAGACTTCGCATTTCCGACGGCGGCCGCCAGGGAGGGGAGCAAACTCCTGGTGCCAGAATGTAAACTCACGATCAGGGATTTGACCAAAACCTTCAAAATGAGACACACGTCTCCAACCCTCACGATTCCTCGTCCCTGAGCTATTGGTAAATACGTGCAGCCTGTCAGCAAAGTCACTGCCTGGTGTGTCAGCTCGGAAATCCGAATCCTGTGTATGATGTCACTTGTATACACACTCTTCATTCAGAGGGACGCTGGGGACATCGTGGCGTATAGGATGCAACAGCGGGAGAGCCTTGGACGGATAAGGACCCGAAGGCACGTGGCAGGGGCGGGGGGGAGGTGACCATCCTGGACTAGCAGCAAGGCAAGAATTGACAACTGATGCCTGGTCCCGAGGGGACACTGACTGAAGGACTCTCGGGCTGCAGGCCTGGGGACGTCCACTATGACGGCTACTATGCGTGCGCTGCCCCCGAGGGTGCCAGGAGAGCTACGAGCCCCCGGCTGACCTGCTACACGGTCCCAAAGCCACCCTTTACCAGCCACGGCACCTGGGGACGCTCACGAGCCTCTCTCTTCCCCAGTCGCCCCCTCGGTAGAGGCCTGGAAAGCTCAGAAGAGCAAAAACGTCCACAGGACAACACAGAAAGGAGGTCGTGAGCCCAAGAGGGTCCTCCTTATGGGCCCTACAGCCGAGGTCCCCACAGGCGGCTGCACGGCCACCGTGCTCTCGAGACCCCCGTGACGACACAGCGCAGGGGGCACCGTGCACCCACTGGAGCCGTTTTCCAGGACAACTGCACGGCAGACCGGCCCCGAAATTTAATTTGTAAATGATACTCCGCCAACTTCAAGCTGCAATCCTTTTGATCAGCCAGAACAATCTGGGGGAGCCGAGGGGGGGGAGGCGGGACAGCAGCACCCCATAAGGACGTGTGTCTGGAATGCTGGTTATCACCAGCTTGATGAAAAATATATGAGCATCGGTACCAAAGGCCAAGATGAAATCGCTCAGAGGAACGGCCGATGCCGGATGCCGCGCGGTGTCTCGACCCGCAGACGCCCGCTGCCGGGGGTCGGTGCCTGCGTTCGGAGGGCCCCAGCTCAAGGATGTTGGCTCAGGCCCAGACCGCCGTGGGTCCTTGTCATTGTCACAGAATGCGTGCTTGGCTTCAGAGGCAAGCAGTTTCTTTGTACAGTGGAACCCGGGAGGGTCCCCGAGACGTGGAGCATTGTCATCTGACAAGAAACGAATGTCCTATGTGCACGTGAACTTCTGAATCATGTCTTAACCCGAGTGGGAGGAAACGCAGCTGACTCTAAAACCACCTTCTGCTTGCGTTTCTGAAAACAAAATCTGCCGCTTTTCTCTGACTCACTCCAGAGACCCCGCACTTGTGGCGAGCAGCCTCGCTCGCTCGCTCGGGAAGGAGGAGCGGGGGAGGCCAAGGACTCGCTTATTTGTTTACAGCGCACTGAGAGGCGTGGGACGCGGAGGTGACCCAGACGCCACATTCGGCGAAGTTCCTGAAAACCTCAAGATTAAAGCGTGGATGGCGACTTACCCAAAATGACTGGCCAAGTTCACGGACACGCAGAAGAGAAGGAGGTTTTTGGTCATGATGAAGCTGGAGAGCATCGCCTCGTCCATGCCCACCGGGAACGAGAGGAGAAGCAGCCGGTTCGGGGGGGAGGGGGACCCCTGCTCCTTTCTCCAACGCGATCTTTCTGCTGAAAAGCACACACAGGGAAGAGCCATGCACACGCGGACGCGTCCTCGTCAGCTTCTGGACCCCGGTGGGACTGCGACATGCAGGACTGACAGAGAAACGGCCCTGGCTGGCTGTCGTCGGGCACGGCTGCACCTCAGTGTCAAACACATCTCGGTCACACACAGAGGTTACAACACAGCTTAATTTTCATGTTTACCCAGAGTCAGTCTAAATAATAAAAAATTATTATTTTCCACGTCTCAAATACTTTGCTTCACTTTTTAGCATGCTAGCAAATGACCCGTTCGTGCTATTATCCCAATCAACACTCGAAGTGGTGAGTAGCTGTGTTTTGCATCTGTCAAATCCACAAGTGGAATAATTTTACCTTTTGGAAATATCTGCCACGCGTTCAAAGCCAGCCGGCTACTCCTTGCTCTGCGAGGCGCTGAAAGTAGATGGGGGGGCGGGGGGTGGGGGGAGGCACATTTAAGGAACCAATCTACGGGGTCACGACAACAGAACTGCTTGTGAGGAACGCCTGCCACTCTCTCAGCGTCCTGTCCCCACGACTACACATTCTCACTGCTTTTGTGTGTGCTTGGGGGAGGGGGGCTCCCGCGTGCGTGCCGGCCGGGAACGCATGGGGAATGCGGGCAGGTGCAGGCGCTGGGCTCTGCCTCCGGGCTGGAGAAGGCGCCGCTTCCCCATTGCGCATAAGGCGGACAGGCGCGCGCGGTTCGGGACACCTCGCGCTCCAAGGGCACGTCTTCCCGAGGAGACCCCGGGCCAGCTCCGGGATCGGGCCCCACACAACAGGTGCTTGCGCCTCAGAAGCGCAGGCCCCGCGTGCGGAAGGGCGCGAGGAATGCGGGGGTGCAGGCGCTGGGCTCTGCCTCCGGGCTGGAGAAGGCGCCGCTTCCCCATTGCGCATAAGGCGGACAGGCGCGCGCGGTTCGGGACACCTCGCGCTCCAAGGGCACGTCTTCCCGAGGAGACCCCGGGGGCGCTCCGGGATCGGGCCCCACACAACAGGTGCTTGCGCCTCAGAAGCGCAGGCCCCGCGTGCGGAAGGGCGC